TGGGGGCTCCAGAGCTGGACGCAGGACTCCAGGTGGGGTCTGACGAGAGTGGAGTAAAGGGGCAGAACCCCCTCCCTCGCCCTGCTGGCCACGCTGCTCTGGATGCAGCCCAGGGTACGGTTGGCTCTCTGGGCTGAGCCCTGACAGCCCTACCTTAGCTGTCAGCAAGGGCCCAGGACCACCTCTTCTGACAGAGGACCCACCTGCAACCGCCATCGCCCTTCAAGCTGGCAATTACATTTGGGCTGAAGAATTTTCTATTGCCTCCCATTTACCTGACTATGCAAGGAGCAAATTAAAAAAAAAAAAAAAAAAAAATAGAGAGAAACATGAAAAAGGGGAAAGAGCGAGGTTCTTCCACTGCGAGGGAGCAGACGGGAAAAGCAGGCTGACTGCCGAAGGGCTGCCAGCGACCTTACAAAGGACATTTCTGTAACACTGCACTGCAAACCACATTTAAACCAGCAATGCAAATTCAGCCAAGGTCTTCTTCCCGTGAAGCGGGATCTTGAAGCAGAAGATAAAACCCACCGCACAACCCTGGTATTAAAATCTGAGTAATTTAAGCTTGGCGAAAGTGGGAGAAGTTTGAAGGTTGCTCATCTGCTGGAGGTGAGCTCAGACCTCCTGTATCAGCGAGGACTTTTGAAAACCCGTGTCGCCTTGCTCGTCTCTGCATGCTCGTCCCTTTGCTCGGGTCACAGCCATCGCCCAGGCAGGTACAGTGGCTGTTAAGCTCAACAGCAGCCAAGGCAGCCAGGAAGTTCCAGCTGAAGATGACGAAGAACTTCTTCCCTCTGAGGGTGACAGAGCCCTGGCCCAGGCTGCCCAGGGAGGCTGTGGAGTCTCCTTCTCTGGAGATATTCCAGACCCGCCTGGACACGGTGCTGTGCAGCCTGCTCTGGGTGACCCTGCTTCGGCAGGGGGTTGGGGCTGGGTGACCCACAGAGGTCCCTGCCAACCCCCACCATTCTGTGGTTCTGTGAAAGCAGCAGGTTTCTCGAAGCAGGCAGA